TGATGGTAGCTGGTGGCTGTGTGTTGATGGTAGCTGGTGGCTGTGTGTTGATGGTAGCTGGTGGTGTGTGTTGATGGTAGCTGGTGGCTGTGTGTTGATGGTAGCTGGTGGTGTGTATTGATGGTAGCTGGTGGTGTGTGTTGATGGTAGCTGGTGGTGTGTGTTGATGGTAGCTGGTGGTGTGTGTTGATGGTAGCTGGTGCTGTGTGTTGATGGTAGCTGGTGGCTGTGTGTTGATGGTAGCTGGTGGCTGTGTGTTGATGGTAGCTGGTGGCTGTGTGTTGATGGTAGCTGGTGCTGTGTGTTGATGGTAGCTGGTGCTGTGTGTTGATGGTAGCTGGTGGCTGTGTGTTGATGGTAGCTGGTGGTGTGTGTTGATGGTAGCTGGTGCTGTGTGTTGATGGTAGCTGGTGGCTGTGTGTTGATGGTAGCTGGTGGCTGTGTGTTGATGGTAGCTGGTGGTGTGTGTTGATGGTAGCTGGTGCTGTGTGTTGATGGTAGCTGGTGCTGTGTGTTGATGGTAGCTGGTGCTGTGTGTTGATGGTAGCTGGTGCTGTGTGTTGATGGTAGCTGGTGCTGTGTGTTGATGGTAGCTGGTGCTGTGTGTTGATGGTAGCTGGTGCTGTGTGTTGATGGTAGCTGGTGCTGTGTGTTGATGGTAGCTGGTGCTGTGTGTTGATGGTAGCTGGTGCTGTGTGTTGATGGTAGCTGGTGCTGTGTGTTGATGGTAGCTGGTGCTGTGTGTTGATGGTAGCTGGTGCTGTGTGTTGATGGTAGCTGGTGCTGTGTGTTGATGGTAGCTGGTGCTGTGTGTTGATGGTAGCTGGTGGTGTGTGTTGATGGTAGCTGGTGGTGTGTGTTGATGGTAGCTGGTGGTGTGTGTTGATGGTAGCTGGTGGTGTGTGTTGATGGTAGCTGGTGGTGTGTGTTGATGGTAGCTGGTGGTGTGTGTTGATGGTAGCTGGTGGTGTGTGTTGATGGTAGCTGGTGGTGTGTGTTGATGGTAGCTGGTGGTGTGTGTTGATGGTAGCTGGTGGTGTGTGTTGATGGTAGCTGGTGGTGTGTGTTGATGGTAGCTGGTGGTGTGTGTGATGGTAGCTGGTGGTGTGTGTTGATGTAGCTGGTGGTGTGTGTTGATGGTAGCTGGTGGTGTGTGTTGATGGTAGCTGGTGGTGTGTGTTGATGGTAGCTGGTGGTGTGTGTTTGATGGTAGCTGGTGGTGTGTGTTGATGGTAGCTGGTGGTGTGTGTTGATGGTAGCTGGTGGTGTGTGTTGATGGTAGCTGGTGGTGTGTGTTGATGGTAGCTGGTGGTGTGTGTTGATGGTAGCTGGTGGTGTGTGTTGATGGTAGCTGGTGGGGTGTGTTGATGGTAGCTGGTGGTGTGTGTTGATGGTAGCTGGTGGTGTGTGTTGATGGTAGCTGGTGGTGTGTGTTGATGGTAGCTTGGTGGTGTGTGTTGATGGTAGCTCGGTGGTTGTGTGTTGATGGTAGCTGGTGTGTGTGTTGATGGTAGCTGGTGGTGTGTGTTGATGGTAGCTGGTGGTGTGTGTGTTGATGGTAGCTGGTGGTGTGTGTTGATGGTAGCTGGTGGGTGTGTGATGGTAGCTGGTGGTGGTGTGTGATGGTAGCTGGTGGGGTGTGTTGATGGTAGCTGGTGGGGTGTGTGTGATGGTAGCTGGTGGTGTGTGGTTGATGGTAGCTGGTGGTGTGTGTTGATGGTAGCTGGTGGTGTGTGTTGATGGTAGCTGGTGGTGTGTGTTGATGGTAGCTGGTGGTGTGTGTGATGGTAGCTGGTGGTGTGTTGATGGTAGCTGGTGGTGTGTGTTGATGGTAGCTGGTGGGTGTGTTTGATGTAGCTGGTGGGTGTGTGTGATGGTAGCTGGTGGGTGTGTTGACGGTAGCTGGTGGTGTGTGTTGACGGTAGCTGGTGGTGTGTGTTGATGGTAGCTGGTGGTGTGTGTTGATGGTAGCTGGTGGTGTGTGTTGATGGTAGCTGGTGGTGTGTGTTGATGGTAGCTGGTGGTGTGTGTTGATGGTAGCTGGTGGTGTGTGTTGATGGTAGCTGGTGGTGTGTGTTGATGGTAGCTGGTGGTGTGTATTGATGGTAGCTGGTGCTGTGTTGATGGTAGCTGGTGCTGTGTGTTGGTGGTAGCTGGTGCTGTGTGTTGACGGTAGCTGGTGGTGTGTGTTGACGGTAGCTGGTGCTGTATTGACGGTAGCTGGTGCTGTATTGACGGTAGCTGGTGGTGTGTGTTGACGGTAGCTGGTGGTGTGTGTTGACGGTAGCTGGTGGTGTGTGTTGATGGTAGCTGGTGGTGTGTGTTGATGGTAGCTGGTGCTGTGTTGATGGTAGCTGGTGGTGTGTGTTGATGGTAGCTGGTGGTGTGTGTTGATGGTAGCTGGTGGTGTGTGTTGATGGTAGCTGGTGGTGTGTGTTGATGGTAGCTGGTGGTGTGTGTTGATGGTAGCTGGTGGTGTGTGTTGATGGTAGCTGGTGGTGTGTGTTGATGGTAGCTGGTGGTGTGTGTTGATGGTAGCTGGTGGTGTGTGTTGATGGTAGCTGGTGGTGTGTGTTGATGGTAGCTGGTGGTGTGTGTTGATGGTAGCTGGTGGTGTGTGTTGATGGTAGCTGGTGGTGTGTGTTGATGGTAGCTGGTGGTGTGTGTTGATGGTAGCTGGTGGTGTGTGTTGATGGTAGCTGGTGGTGTGTGTTGATGGTAGCTGGTGGTGTGTGTTGATGGTAGCTGGTGGTGTGTGTTGATGGTAGCTGGTGGTGTGTGTTGATGGTAGCTGGTGCTGTGTGTTGATGGTAGCTGGTGCTGTGTGTTGATGGTAGCTGGTGGTGTGTGTTGATGGTAGCTGGTGGTGTGTGTTGATGGTAGCTGGTGGTGTGTGTTGATGGTAGCTGGTGGTGTGTGTTGATGGTAGCTGGTGGTGTGTGTTGACGGTAGCTGGTGGTGTGTGTTGACGGTAGCTGGTGGTGTGTGTTGACGGTAGCTGGTGGTGTGTGTTGACGGTAGCTGGTGGTGTGTGTTGACGGTAGCTGGTGGTGTGTGTTGACGGTAGCTGGTGGTGTGTGTTGACGGTAGCTGGTGGTGTGTTGACGGTAGCTGGTGGTGTGTGTTGACGGTAGCTGGTGGTGTGTGTTGACGCTAGCTGGTGGTGTGTGTTGACGCTAGCTGGTGGTGTGTGTTGACGCTAGCTGGTGGTGTGTGTTGACGCTAGCTGGTGGTGTGTGTTGACGCTAGCTGGTGGTGTGTGTTGACGCTAGCTGGTGGTGTGTGTTGACGGTAGCTGGTGGTGTGTGTTGACGTAGCTGGTGTGTGTGTTTGACGGTAGCTGTGGTGTGTGTTGACGGTAGCTGTGGTGTGTGTTGACGGTAGCTGGTGTGTGTGTTGACGGTAGCTGGTGGTGTGTGTTGACGGTAGCTGGTGGTGTGTGTTGACGGTAGCTGGTGGTGTGTTGACGGTAGCTGGTGGTGTGTGTTGACGGTAGCTGGTGGTGTGTGTTGACGGTAGCTGGTGGTGTGTGTTGACGGTAGCTGGTGGTGTGTGTTGACGGTAGCTGGTGGTGTGTGTTGACGGTAGCTGGTGGTGTGTGTTGACGGTAGCTGGTGCTGTGTTGACGGTAGCTGGTGCTGTGTTGACGGTAGCTGGTGCTGTGTTGACGGTAGCTGGTGGTGTGTGTTGACGGTAGCTGGTGCTGTGTATTGACGGTAGCTGGTGCTGTGTATTGACGGTAGCTGGTGGTGTGTGTTGATGGTAGCTGGTGGTGTGTGTTGATGGTAGCTGGTGGTGTGTGTTGATGGTAGCTGGTGGTGTGTGTTGATGGTAGCTGGTGGTGTGTGTTGATGGTAGCTGGTGGTGTGTGTTGATGGTAGCTGGTGCTGTGTTGATGGTAGCTGGTGGTGTGTGTTGATGGTAGCTGGTGGTGTGTGTTGATGGTAGCTGGTGGTGTGTGTTGATGGTAGCTGGTGGTGTGTGTTGATGGTAGCTGGTGGTGTGTGTTGATGGTAGCTGGTGGTGTGTTGATGGTAGCTGGTGGTGTGTGTTGATGGTAGCTGGTGGTGTGTGTTGATGGTAGCTGGTGGTGTGTGTTGATGGTAGCTGGTGGTGTGTGTTGATGGTAGCTGGTGGTGTGTGTTGATGGTAGCTGGTGGTGTGTATTGATGGTAGCTGGTGCTGTGTTGATGGTAGCTGGTGGTGTGTGTTGGTGGTAGCTGGTGCTGTGTGTTGGTGGTAGCTGGTGCTGTGTTGACGGTAGCTGGTGGTGTGTGTTGACGGTAGCTGGTGCTGTATTGACGGTAGCTGGTGGTGTGTGTTGATGGTAGCTGGTGGTGTGTGTTGGTGGTAGCTGGTGCTGTGTTGACGGTAGATGGTGCTGCGTATTGATGGTAGCTGGTGCTGTGTTGATGGTAGCTGGTGCTGTGTTGATGGTAGCTGGTGCTGTGTTGATGGTAGCTGGTGGTGTGTGCTGATGGTAGCTGGTGGTGTGTGTTGATGGTAGCTGGTGGTGTGTGTTGATGGTAGCTGGTGGTGTGTTGATGGTAGCTGGTGGTGTGTGTTGATGGTAGCTGGTGGTGTGTGTTGATGGTAGCTGGTGGTGTGTGTTGATGGTAGCTGGTGGTGTGTGTTGATGGTAGCTGGTGGTGTGTGTTGATGGTAGCTGGTGGTGTGTGTTGATGGTAGCTGGTGCTGTGTTGATGGTAGCTGGTGGTGTGTGTTGATGGTAGCTGGTGGTGTGTGTTGATGGTAGCTGGTGGTGTGTTGATGGTAGCTGGTGACCCCCTCTGTGCTCTCCGTGCAGTAACCACGTGTCCCGGCACCGTGGGGCATCAGACGCACCGGGAGATACAACACAGAGCAGCAGCAGCAGGAGCAGCAGGAGCAGCAGCAGCAGGAGCAGCAGCAGCAGGAGCAGCAGCAGCAGGAGCAGGAGCAGCAGCAGCAGCAGGAGCAGCAGCAGCAGCAGGAGCAGCAGCAGCAGGAGCAGGAGCAGCAGCAGCAGCAGCAGGAGCAGCAGCAGCAGCAGGAGCAGCAGCAGCAGCAGGAGCAGCAGCAGCAGCAGGAGCAGCAGCAGGTTGAGGTGTCAGAGCAGCCATCGATCCCCACCGGCAGCTGTGGCAGGAGCCCGCCACGAGCCGCTGCCTCGGGCTCGAGAGGAGCGGACAGAGCCGAAGGAGCGAACTTGAGGAGCTGGCGAGGGACCTGCGGGTGACGTCCTCGAGTCCAGCAGACACCTCGAGACTCAACAACAACACCAACATCGCACACGGGGTCAGGAAACATCTTGGGAAACGTCGTGAAGAATAAGGAAAGGCCTTGGAGACCGGTAAGACGCCTTAATGACTATCGGCGATCTTGAGAATAAGGGAATATTTGTTTTTTTGTAAGTAATAAGATTGAAGGCCGTTAAATCTGAAGGCGAGATCTTGAATTGAGCCTTGCGACGAGGTTGGGCAGCGAGCGAGGCGACGGAAGTCTTGCAGCGACCATCTCCTTCACGGGGCAGGAAGGACCTGAAAGAGGAGGCGGCAGCTCGCTCACCTGTGGAAGCTTCCACGGCGTCGTAGGGCGAGGCGAGGGGTCGCGTGTGGCGAGGCACGCGCCCTGGCATCCGACTCTCTGTTAGGGGGCCGAGGGAAGTCGCTTGAGAGGCCTGTGCTTTTAAGGGCGCTGACATCATCGACCTTCAGCAATCGGACACAATACAAAAAGTAAAGTTTTGCTTCGCACTTTTCTTCGTCTTAAAGTTGTCCAACGCCGCGTGAGAAACGAATTGGTGGCTGTGTGACTTTGAGAGAGAAACCACGTGGACACGAGAGAGCTGAAAGAGCTGATGATGTTGATGTTGTTGTTGGTGGTGGTGGCATAGTGGGACTCGCAAGTGGATTCCGAGTCTTGTTGTCGCCGGTTTCAAATCTGTGGCCCTTTTGAGAACCCGAGACGGGGACTTGGGTTGTTGGAGGTCACTCGTCGATGTTTCGGTCCATGGAGGTTTGGGTGAAATCCGGAGAGCGGAGTATCCAAGTCAACGCTTCTGTGACAGGCGCAAGCAGCTGATGACCAAGGAGGTCCGAGGAACTTGTAAAAGCCCCGGGCGAAGTGTCTGGGACCAACAAGAACCAGAGGATGTGGTGACCGAGAGGAACTGTGAACTGTGAAGGGCGCTACCGAAGTCCGGAGACTGGGCGGGTCCCACGGACCGAGAGGCAGTGAGAAGCAGGAAGGGCCGAGAGGGTGCAGGGGGCTTCACGGAGCACCTTGGAAAGCCCCAGAGGAGCGAGGGAGTTTTAATCCCCGGGAAAGGCAACCTCCGGATAAGCACGGTTGGCTACGTACGGCGCCAACGAAGTTCAACGCACACGCGCACAAAGCCCCCGTGGTGTTGTGAGCACCCGTCCACGTGTGTCCGAGGAGGTGACGGGGACTTGCGAGAGGCAAGAAGGGACCTGGGAAGCCTTGAGGGAAGGCCGAGGAAGGCCAGAAAGGAACCACCGGAGACAAGCAGGTTGGGGGCGCGGAGAAGTCCCAGCGGATCGCGTCATCGGGAGAGGGGGTGGATAGCGAGGGTCCGCGAAGGCCAGAGGTCAGGAGGGCCCGGAGGAGTTGGAAAAAGGGCCCCGGGAAGGCCCAGGGAGGCCTGGCGGCCGTCGAGCAGCATGGGGGAGTCGCTGGACGTGAAGGGTCTCTGCCTCGCCTTCTTCGACTACAAGACGGAGAAGTTTGTGATCGCGCGCAACAAGAAAGTCGGAGTCCTGTACCGCCTCCTGCAGCTCGGGGTCATTGGCTACCTGCTCGGGTACGCGTGCAGGTGTGTGCGTGCAGGTGTGTGCGTGCAGGTGTGTGCGTGCAGGTGTGTGCGTGCAGGTGTGTGCGTGTGTGCAGGTGTGTGCGTGTGTTCAGGTGTGTGCGTGTGTGCGTGCAGGTGTGTGCGTGCAGGTGTGTGCAGGTGTGTGCGTGTGTTCAGGTGTGTGCGTGTGTTCAGGTGTGTGCGTGTGTGCAGGTGTGTGCGTGTGTTCAGGTGTGTGCGTGTGTGCAGGTGTGTGCGTGTGTTCAGGTGTGTGCGTGCAGGTGTGTGTGTTCAGGTGTGTGCGTGTAGGTGTGTGCGTGTGCAGATGTGTGCGTGTGTGTGTGCAGGTGTGTGTGTGCATGGGAGGGGTGGGGGAGTGGTAGTGTAGCGGTTAGCGCACTGCGTTACGAATCCTATGACCCGAGTTCAATTTCCGTTCATAGCCGACATCAGTGGCAAATATGTGAAACGGTCGTGGACCCTCCCCTAGGTCTGTTCAGCCTTAAAGGAGAGCCTGTTGCTGTGTTTAAACATAAGCCCTGGGGAGACAAAGGTGGCCGGGCGTGGTGTTGACCGCACACGCCCCTCGTGTGCGGTTCAGGGCTTCAAGCGTGCTCGCGAACAGCACTTGCCCCAACAGTCTATTGAAGACTATCAGGGGGATCTTTGTCTTTCGTAGTGTGTGGCGCGCGGTTAGCGCACTGCGCTCCAAACACTACAACCTGAGTTCGAATCTTGTTCACGGCCAACAATCTAAGCTGGTCGCGGGCCCTCCCCTAGGTTTACTCAGCCTTAAATAAGTACCTGGTACGGTGTGTAACCATCAGCACGGGGGGGGGGGGGGTAGAAACAAAGCGGCGGGGCGTGGTGCTGGCCACACCTCATGCAAGGGTGCCGTACCGCCCGGCGCTAGCGGCGCTTGACCCCAACAGCCCGTGAAGGCTACACGGGGAATCTTTGCCTGGGGGATCTTTGGCTGCGTTATCCGCTCCGCGTATGAATTTAGAATCCCGAGCGCGTCCCACGCGATGCACGCACACGTGGGCCGGCGGCCTCGTCTGGCCACGGCCGTCTGGGAGGCATCCACGCGGAAGGGGCTCCAGAGATAAATCACGAAAGGGAAATATTCGGCAGCTCCCAAAAAAGGGGGCGGCTGCAACTGATCGTTTCCATTCATTCATTGACTCGACACTTATCAATAAAAAATATTCGACGCGTTCCGAATGCATTACGAATGCGTTCGGATGTCGTCCGCGACCACCCCCACCCCACCCCCTTCGCATTAGAGAACGATCCGCGGAAGGGGATACTACAGAGCGACTGCTACCTCTGAGATCCCTCCCCCCGCGTCCTGCAAGTGACCTCTGCTCCACTCTGCCGCGAATCGAATGTCGCGCCACGTGACCGCCACACCGATATTTTTAATTCCCAGGGCTGGAGTGCAGCCACATTAAGTGCAGAACCAAACGATGTGTGATTTGTGTGTGTGTGTCGACTCAGTCTCAAATGAGTACCTGGTGTGATGTGTAGTAAACATCGCTACTGGGGAGACAAAGGCGGTCGGGCGTGGTGCTGATCGCCTACCCCCTCGTGTGCCACAGTGCCGGCCTTCGTAGGTGCTCGCTCACAGCACCTGCCCCTACAGTCTGTTCAGGCTAGACGGGAGATCTGTTTGTGTGTGTGGTGAAGTCGTTGCTGATCCATCAGCAGAGTCGGCATGGCTCTAAGCGACCCTGAAGCTGCCGACGGGACGCTCAGCGTCAAAACTCGCGCAGAGTTTGCAGAAGAGCGTCACTCCCGGCACGCCGCCTGGCTGACGGGATGTGGCCAACAGAACATGATTGATTTGGTTACGTAGACACATTTATTGACACACAAAACAAAGATCCCCCGTGTAGCCTTTAAAACACTTTTGGGGCAAGTGCTTTAAATGCCGGCACGGCACACCCGACCGCCTTTGTCTCCCCCCCCTCCCCCCCAGCGCTGCTATTTTACACACCGCACCCAGGTATATACTGTACTCATTTGAGACCGAGCCGACCTAGGGGAAGCCCAAGACCGGTTCAGATAATCGTCACCGGTGTTGGTGGCCGTGAGCGGGAATCGAACTCGGGTGGGCCGGGTTGGCAGCGCAGCGTAGCGCTAACCGCTGCGCCACCGCTCCCCGCGGTGTCTCACGGGGGCCGCGTCCACGCGATCTGTCGGTGACTCACGCGACCCCCACCCCCAGTGCGGTGGGCAGTGAGCACGGCTCGGATGAGCTCCGCTCCCAGCTGAGCCAGCACCCTCTCGCACTCGGCGTCTCCCCCCTACACACAGACAAAGGTCCCCCGTGTAGCCTTCACACACTGTTGGGGCAAGTGCTGTTAGCGAGCAGCAACGCCTTTCAAGGCCGGCACTGTGGGCACGCGAGGGGGTGGGTGGTCGGAGCCACGCCCGGCCGCCTTTGTCTCCACAGCGGCGATCTTTACTACACACCGCACCAGGTACATATTTAAGGCTGAATCGACCTAGGGGAGGCCCAGGACCAATTCAGACAATCGTCGCCGGCGTTGGCCGTGAGTGAGAATCGAACTCGGCTCGCCCGGGTTCGTAGCGCAGCGTAGCGCTAACCACTGCGCCACCGCTCCCCCACAGCCCTCTCACGCCCCCCCCTCCCCCGTAACAAGAGCCCTGCTATCAATTCACACCCCTCGCTCAGTTCAAATAAACTCCGCGGTTAAAGACGATACAAAAAAGTATATAAATACATACTCTATGTATATAACTGACATTAAACCGATTGGCATATATAGCGCATGCGGAAGGCGCGTTGCCCGAAACGTCCCGTATTGTGACGTCTTTGGGGGGCGGTCACGGTCGACATTTGACCTCGCGCTGGTCTGTGGCCCCAGCTGCGTTGCGTCTGCACGTGACGATGATCATCTTTATTTAGACTGCAGAAGGAATCCGATGATCTGTAAAGCTCTTTTTCACAGACGTCGCATCATGATGATTATCAGTAGTAGTGTTATCAGCGTTACGACGAACGGTAGTCCCCAGTGAAGCCACGTAGGCCTTACCGACCAATAATATCCATAATATTACATCAACGTACCATTTTATAGATGTATAATTATGGATAATGGTACGTGGATATATTATATAATATATAATAGTATGTACAGGGTGCTTCAAAACAATGTTAACACTTCCGAGAATTTGCAAAGATACCGCAAGAAACGTGTTGCGGCCTCTGGACTCTGGAGATCACCTGGAGAAGATCCCAGGCACGCGTTGACAACGATGACGAACAAGTGGGAGACTCTTTCACTTCTTGAAGCTATTAAACATTGCATTTGTTATCACGTTACAGTGTAGTATGATCCGTTGTTTTCCCATTAAAAACGATAGTCCCATGTAAGTGTCAACATTTTTTTGAAGCACCCTGTCTAATTATTCTGGATAACGGTTACGTTGATGACTCCCTTGTAGCGCCGACTCCACTGGCGCTGCTCGCTTGCCCATGAGCGACGCATCCCGAGCGCTAAGCGAGGTCTGCCCGTACTGTACTGGATTTGATTATTCGCATTCAGCGAAGGTGGCGCTGGAAAACTCGTCTGTACAGTACGGTACTGTATATGCAGATTTATCTCTTACGCCCCGCCCCCTTTCTCTTGAGGCGGGGTTAGTCGGGTTGGGCGGGGTTGGTCGGGTTGGGCAGGGTCGGTCGGGTTGGGCGGGGTCGGTCGGAGTGGGCGGGATCAGTCAGTCGGGGTGGTCGGGGTCGGTCGGGGTCGGTCGGGGTCGGTCGGCGTCGGTCGGGGTCGGTCGGAGTGGGCGGGGTCGGTCGGGGTCGGTCGGGGTCGGTCGGGGTCGGTCGGGGTCGGTCGGGTTGGGCGGGGTCGGTCGGGGTGGGCGGGGTCGGTCGGGGTCGGGCGGGGTCGGTCGGGGTCGGTCGGGGTCGGTCGGGTTGGGCGGGGTCGGTCGGAGTGGGCGGGGGTCAGTCGGGTTGGGCGGGGTCAGTCAGGGTGGGCGGGGTCGGTTGGAGTGGGCAGGGTCGGTCGGGGTGGGCGGGGTCGGTCGGAGTGGGCGGGGGTCAGTCGGGTTGGGCGGGGTCAGTCAGGGTGGGCGGGGTCGGTCGAAGTGGGCGGGGTCGGTCGGAGTGGGCGGGATCAGTCAGTCGGTGTGGGCGGGGTCGGTCAGTGTGGGCGGGATCAGTCAGGGTGTACTACCAACAAGACGATGGGGGGGCAGCAGCAGCAGCAGGAGGATGCTGATGCGCATGATAGAGGTGGGGAGTGTGGGCGTCTCGCCGCTCTAGGTGGGTGTTTGTGGTGAAGCGCGGCTACCAGGAGTGGGACTCGGCCCTGGAGAGTTCCGTCATCACCAAGCTCAAGGGCGTCACGCTCGTCAACGCCTCCGAGGGGGGCACGCGCGTCTGGGACGTGGCCGACTACGTCATCCCCCCGCAGGTGAGGGCCGACGTCTCCGCGACGTTTTGGGTAATGGCCCTTCATAGCACGTGAAAGAACTCAAAGCGCACACATTTGCAATTACTAATAATTTACTAAAACTAAGCTATTCTTATAAGGCCCCACTGAGCTATGTAGCTCTTCAGAAGCGACCTGGCTGTCACAATTGATAGCTCACCAAAGTGGCGGCTTATCACGTGGAGATTGCTAGCAGCTGCCAAATATTCTAAACGCGTGGTGATGTTGATTCTAAATGTAGAGGAAAACCGGGAGGAAAATCCACGGGGAGAGAGACACAAACTCCAAATATACAGCAGCAGCAGCAGGCGTCAGGGTCGGGATGGAACCCACGGCCTCCTGCGTACCAGGCGAGGGAGTCAACATCTCCTAGGCGAGGTAGTTAACATATCGCAATTCTTCCAGGGATCTCCGTGCGCCACTTGCATACAACTAACTCACAGCCACAAGTCGCTTTTATCTTTATATTTTAAACGACAGGTAGTATGTAAATTCATATTTTTCTCATTCGGAATTTTCGAATTGTACGCTTGGCTATTAAGGCGACGGTGGCGCTTACGGAGTGGAACATTTGTGCCCAGAAAGGCGCCACACTTTGCATACAGCGTGACTTGATTAACATGCGATAGACACGCGATCGACAAGTGATTGACCTGTAAATGACACGTGATTGACATGTGATTGACACGTGATTGACATGTGATTGACACGTGACGTTGTCTCCGACTGCCCCTGTACCCCAGGGAGAGAATGTGTTCTTCGTGGTCACGAACCTCATCGTGACTCCCCTGCAAAGACAAAGCAAGTGCCCCGAGGTGAGCGAGCCACCACCAACAACAACAACAGTAGCCGCCGTTCACAACTGACTGGCGGTGACGTCACCACGGCGCTTGTGCCAGGCTAGGTGCTCCCAGATGCCATGGGTGGACTGGCTGAAATGACTGGCAGATGCACCACCTGTGCTCCCCACTGTGCTGGCGACTACCTCCAACTGCCCAGCGGCGTCCTTCACGAGCCTCCTCAATAGAGGCCGATCTTGACGCCGCTGGTGCCAGTCATCGGCAAGTCCACTCAGCTCCACATCCTCCTCTACCATGCGGGCTACGTGACCCAGCCAGCGCAGCCTTGCCTGCCGGAGGAGCTCACCGATAGGACTGTGTCCAGATCTTTCAAAGATCTGTGAGCTCCTCACACAATCCAGTCTGGTTAAACTCAGGATGGATCGTAGGCAGGCCAGCCTGAATGTTATAAACCCGCGCATGTTTCGCAAGCGTAGAGACTGTGGCTGAGAAAACCCGGAGATTTGTCGGGAGCGATAGGCCAGGTAGCTCCCACACAGCTGACGAAAAGACAATGCCGCTCGGCTGACGTGGAGTCGGACCTCCGCTGCCAAACCCGAATTGGTTGAGGGTGCAATGGTCGGCACACTTTGCTTGCAATCCAGAGGTAACGAGTTTGATTCCATCTCCCCCTGCAGGCTAAATGGATAGAGTGTGGCTGGAGGCGGCCACACGTCCATACAGGTGGACGAGGCAGTCGCCTAGGGCGCTAAGTTCAGTCGGGCGCCAAATTCGAGGGAAAAAAAAGACAAATTAAAAAAATACAAATTAAACAACAAAGTTGTCTTTTGATTTAAAGCTTTCGTGACTGCAGTAATTCATATTCTTAGTTTTTTCGGTAAAGTCACGTTGAAGAGAAACAACAAAATAATAAAATATATATAAAACAATAAAAAAATTCTCACGACGTTTCGACCATAACTCAAACGGTCATCTTCAGGTGTGTTGGTTTGCATAAATGTATTTTTAAATGGCGCATTTATTTATTTAAAAAACGTTAGCGTCACGCGCAGCGATTTGGCAGTTTACCCAGGACTAGTCCATCTATATTTTGAAAAGAGGAGGGGGGAGACGAAATTTTTTATAATGTATGCTGTCTGAAAGCCACTGTAAGCGTGAACAATCAATTAAGAACTGAAATGGTTTATCAAATCTTTCCAATGATTGCTAAGATAGAATCCATCTTCTCGGTTGAAATTGTCTCTGTGCTTGTATATGTGGATATCAAAAAAGATCTCCAAAATCTTGAATAAACACAAGATCCAGGTCCGTTTCAACACATTACATAAAATCCGTTATCTGGTTCTGTCTGTAAAAGATGTGATTCCGGACATACAATACCCTGGTGTCTACAAACTAAGTTGCCTCTGTGGTAGTAGTTACATTGGAGAAACCAAACGCCATGTCTCGGACCGCATTCGTGAACACAAAGCAGACCTTAAACACGGTAGGACCAACACCTCGGCCGTAGCAGATCATTGTTCTAATTCAGTAGGCTCACATGCCATTGACTTTTCCAAGACAGAGGTTCTTTGTAAGCCATCTGGCTTCCATGAGAGATTCGTTCATGAGGCTATCCACATATACAAGCACAGAGACAATTTCAACCGAGAAGATGGATTCTATCTTAGCAATCATTGGAAAGATTTGATAAACCATTTCAGTTCTTAATTGATTGTTCACGCTTACAGTGGCTTTCAGACAGCATACATTATAAAAAATTTCGTCTCCCCCCTCCTCTTTTCAAAATATAGATGGACTAGTCCTGGGTAAACTGCCAAATCGCTGCGCGTGACGCTAACGTTTTTTATAAATAAATAAATGCGCCGTTTAAAAATAAATTCATGCAAACCAACACACCTGAAGATGACCGTTTGAGTTATGGTCGAAACGTCGTGATAATTTTTTTATTGTTTTACATATATTTTATTATTTTGTTGTTTCTCTTCAACGTGACTTTACCGAAAAAACTAAGAATATGAATAACAAAGTTGTCATTACTTCATTTCCCGTGCACGTACAGAGCGAATACGAATTATACTGTAATTCTATTCTCAACTACTAGTTCTGTGAATCTATTGGTTGGGCAGACGGACAGGTGGACAAACTGAATAATTATACCTCTTTTCTCTCCACCTGAAGAAGACCGCTTGTGTTGCGATCGAAACGTCGTGCATTTTTTTGCTTTTCATTTAGATTTTTGTTTTTTTTTATCTACGTGACTTTACCGAAAGAACCAAGAATATAATTACGCCTCTGTTTAAAAAAAAGCACTTACAAAAACATTAAACGGAAAATAGGCCAAAAAGTTTCCCAGTTTACCAAAAGCCTCAGCCGAGATCTGCCCGTGGGGGTTTGGGGTTGCTGATGTCACGGCTCGCCCTAGCACGCCAGCCGCACATCTGTCAACCCACACGGTTTACCCCGTAATTCCTGGACAGAGAAATTGAGTGTTTCAGGTCCATACGGCGTACAGCCGTTTCAATACGGGCACAAAATAATGTGTCTGTGTTTCTCCCTCGTGATGGGACTTTGTAGGATGAACGTTGAAATTTATAAGGGTGACCAATAAGGTCTGAGTTGGTCTGTAACAAGGTAGGGCACTGGTAAGGGTTGTCACTTTCTGGCAGCAGCTCGTCTAGGGCCGCCCCTGGGTGTGGGTGAGGTCCACCTCGAGCAGCTTGTTAGGGGCTCTCTAGAGGAGGAGGCCCTTCCGGGAGCAGTGACAGGAACAGGTAATTGCGGGGCTGTACCTTTAGCCATCTGTATTTGGACCATTCAAGAGCGAAACAGGAGGAGGATTTCTCCACAACTCTGGCTGTCGCCTGATGAAGCTGCTGGTTGTTGTTGTTGTTGTAAATTACCGTCGAAACGTCACGGTAATCGAATTGTCAATGAGGTAGTGGGTTTACTCTCCAACACACCGTGTGTGTGCTGATGAGCACGTTTTGTTTACGTGACAAATCTTCCTAATTGGCTGTGTCGGGTGGTGCCCGGTTTAACGATGCGTTTATATTGATGTGATCTAACCCTCCTAAGACGACTACTGCGAGTTAAAATAGATCACCCTCCCCTCCGCTCCCCCCCAGCCCCCCATACACCAGACACGTTGAGGAGTCAGTGGCACCCCTCGGCCTGATTGGCAGTAATCGGTGTCCCGTGAGCCCTGCCACTTGTCAGCGGCGCGACACCGCGGGACACGCCGCTCGCAACCTGCAGCCGGAGCGGAGTTTCCCCGGCGCACCACACGCACACACGCACAACACACACACGCACCACACACACATATACCACACACACCGCAAACACGCACACCACACGCACACACGCACAACACACACACGCACCACACACATGCACCACACACACACTACACACACCACACACAAGCACCACACACCACACACACGTACACACCATACACACTACACACACACCACACACACCACACACACGCACCACACACACACACTACACACACGCACCACACACACCACACACGCACCACACACGCACCACACACACCACACACGCACCACACACGCACCACACAGGCACAAAACAACAAAGGCAAAGGTCCCCTATATAGCCTTAACAGACTGTAGGGGCAAGTGCTGTTAGCGAGTAGCACCGATGAAGGCCGGAACGGCACACGAGGGGGTGTGTGGCCAGCACCACGCCCGGCCACCTTTGTCTCCCCAGTGGCGATGTTTACTACACACCGCACCAGGTACATTTGCGGCCGAGTCGACTTAGGGGAGGCTGAGCACCCGATCAGATCATCGTCACTGGGGTTGGTGACCGTGAGCGGGAATCGAACTCGGGTCGCCAAGGTTCGTAGCGCAGCGCTCACCGCTGCGCCACCACTCCCCAGAGCATGGCAGACCAGACGTAGGTGCAGCAGGTAGAGTACACCTACAGCGCCGTCCTCTGTGTACACCGTAAACAACACGAACACTTTTGTCAAGAACACCGCGTTTGGCATTAAACGATTTTAGTAAAAACGTACACAATCGGTGACGTTTCGGGCAATGGGCCTTCTTCACAGCACATAGGCCAGAGAGGTAGAGAGGGTTGCTTTGTGCAGAGCTGCCAACGCAGTATCACCAAAGTAGAGAGTGACACACCTATACTGTAAAGTAGAGAGTGACACACCTGTACTGTAGAGAGTGACACACCTGTACTGTAGAGAGTGACACACCTGTACTGTAAAGTAGAGAGTGACACACCTGTACTGTAAAGTAGAGAGTGACACACCTGTACTGTAGAGAGTGACAAACCTATACTGTAGAGAGTGACACACCTGTACTGTAAAGTAGAGAGTGACACACCTGTACTGTAAAGTAGAGAGTGACACACCTGTACTGTAAAGTAGAGATTGACACACCTGTACTGTAGAGAGTGACACACCTGTACTGTAAAGTAGAGAGTGACACACCTGTACTGTAAAGTAGAGAGTGACACACCTGTACTGTAGAGAGTGACACACCTGTACTGTAGAGAGTGACACACCTGTACTGTAAAGTAGAGAGTGACACACCTGTACTGTAAAGTAGAGAGTGACACACCTGTACTGTAGAGAGTGACACACTTGCACTGTAAAGTAGAGAGTGACACACCTGTACTGTAGAGAGTGACACACCTGTACTGTAGAGAGTGACACACCTGTACTGTAAAGTAGAGAGTGACACACCTATACTGTAGAGAGTGACACACCTGTACTGTAAAGTAGAGAGTGACACACCTGTACTGTAAAGTAGAGAGTGACACACCTGTACTGTAAAGTAGAGAGTGACACACCTGTACTGTAGAGAGTGACACACCTGTACTGTAGAGAGTGACACACCTGTACTGTAAAGTAGAGAGTGACACACCTGTACTGTAAAGTACAGAGTGACACACCTGTACTGTAGAGAGTGACACACCTGTACTGTAGAGAGTGACACACCTGTACTGTAAAGTAGAGAGTGACACACCTATACTGTAGAGAGTGACACACCTATACTGTAAAGTAGGGAGTGACACACCTGTACTGTAATGTAGAGTGACACACCTGTACTGTAGAGAGTGACACACCTGTACTGTAGAGAGTGACACACCTGTACTGTAGAGAGTGACACACCTGTACTGTAAAGTAGAGAGTGACACACGTGTACTGTAGAGAGTGACACACCTGTACTGTAAAGTAGAGAGTGACACACGTGTACTGCATTACACACACTTGGCCAGGCATAGGTATGCCCACAGCCCGGACAAATGTACTCTGTATAAAGGAGGGCGGCCTCCATCAAACGCACAGCGTAACATTATTAATAATTGTGATTCATTATTGTTATTCATTATATTATTATTGTTGTTATTTTCACGCCACAATTCCCGCTCGCCACGTCTGGCAGCACCCCAAGATCCCCGGGGCGCAGTGCACGGAGGACAAGGAATGCCCAGCTGGGGAGCCACTCTCCACGGGCAACGGTGCGCTCACCTGTTCACACACACACACACACACCTGTACACACACACCTGTACACACACCTGTACATACACACACACCTGTACACACACCTGTACACACACCTGTACACAACAACAACAACAACCGCCATTCGCCACTAAGTGGCGGTGACGTCACCACGACGCTTGTGCCAGGCTATGTGCACCCTGAGGCCACGTGAAGTGTCGAACGCCCGCTGGCAGGAGGTCACGGGGCAGACCCAGGTGCCACGGGTCGACTGAGATGACTGGCTGATGCACCACCTGTGCCCCCTACTGTGCCAACCTGCTGTGCTTTAGCCACCCGGCGCTCCGCTCGCTGTTGTGAGCGTCGCTCCTCCGCCCTCCGTTGTTGTTGGAGGGCGACTGCCTCCAACTGCCCAGTAGCATCCTTCACGAGCCTCCTCCACAGAGGCCGATCTTGACACCGCTGGTACCAGTCATCGGCAAGTCCACTCAGCTCCACGTCCTCCTGTACCACATCACTCCATCTCTTCTCTAGCCCGTGCCGCGCCCGCTTAGCCCCCTCAATCCGGCCAAACAAAAGCTGTTTCGGCATGCGGTGGCTGGGCATGCGGGCTACATGACCCAGCCATCGCAGCCTTGCCTGCCGGAGGAGCTCACCGATGGGACCCTGCCCAGATCTTTCAAGGATTTGTGAGCTCCTCACACAATCCAGTCTGGTTAAACCCAGGATGGATCGTAGGCAGGCCAGCCTAAATGTTTCTAACCGGCGAAGATGTTCCATTAGGGGGGTCCACGTTTCGCAAGCGTAGAGAAGGGAGGGAATGACCGTGGCCGAGAAGACCTGAAGCTTAGTGCGGAGCGACAGACCAGGTAGCTTCCACACAGCGTTACGCAACCGATGAAAAGATATTGCCGCTCGACTGATTCGGAGTGAGACCTCTGCTGTTAAACTGGAGCCAGTCATAAGCACACTGCCCAGGTATGGGAAACTCTCCACTCTCTCCACAACTGCCCCATCACCGATTGGGAGTTGTGGGGGTGGAGTGTCCGATGGTACAAAATACCCAGGCAGGTGCTTAGTTTTGGTGGGGCTGATGGTAAGGCCCCACCTCTTAGTGGCACGCTCCAGTCTCAGCAGCAGCGTCTCCAACGCCTCCTCTGACTGAGCAGCTATTACCAAATCATCAGCATACATAACGTGGTTGAGCAATAGGGAGCCATCCCTTGACCGCACCCGGGCATCGATTAGCCTCCCATTATATCTGTACCATATGGAGATTCCCCCGGTACAGCTATTGAAGGCTTCACGAACTACGTGGTCAAAATAGATGTTAAATAATGTGGGAGCCAGAGGACATCCCTGTCGCACCCCAAGGTGTACAGGGAATGGCTCTGACTCCCGGCCACGTAGTTTTACCCGGGCCCGCTCACCATCATGAAGGTCCTTAATGATCGTGAGCAGAGGGTCAGGTACTCCAAAAGCACGAAGAACGACCCAGAGCCCAGGCCTACTGATGGTATCATAGGCCTTGACCAGGTCAATAAAGCAGAGATGTAGGTCTTGTTGGAATTCCCTACACCTCTGCTGTAGCAGACGGACAGAAAATATGGCATCTGTGCAGGACCGCCCTTTCCTGAAACCGCATTGGGGCTCCGCAAGCCTCTCCTCAGCGTGCCTAGCAAGGCGATGCTGAATAATCCTTGCCAGGACCTTTCCCGGCACACTGAGGAGTGAGATGCCCCTGTAGTTGTTACAGTCTGTGCGGTCCCCCTTCTTAAAAAGGGGGACCACTAGGGCATCCTTCCAATCCTGCCGAACCCGTCCAGTGGTCCAGACTGTTGTTATGATGTCATATAGGGCAGTCTGTGCACAAACGCCACCCTCCCTCAGCATTTCGCTTGGGAGATCATCTCTGCCCGCTGCCTTTCCTGGTCTCAGACTCCGGATCGCCTTCAATACTTCCTCAGCAGATGGCACCTCAGCCAGCCACTCACAGGGGGTGACTTCATCCAATATTTGAGGCACCGCAGCCTCAGCAGGGTCATCCTCACTTTGTGCCACGATGTTTTCCTGGCTGAGGGATTTTCCCTCCCCCAGGACCTCACAGAAATGCTCAGCAAATCTGCAAACCTGTTCCTGGGGGTCGGAAATTGGATCACCGTTTTTTCCCCTAATGATGGTAATAGGTGTGGCGCTGCAGGTTACTTTTTTGATGGAGTTAAATAGAGATTTGTGATCACGGGCCACTGAGGCAGACTCCATCTCCTCAGCAACCCGCGGCCACCACCCATCCTTGCAGCGCCTCACGGCTCTCCGAACCTCCGAGCGAAGGCTGCGGTAAGCCTCCTCATTCTCTGACGTAGGATTCTATAGCCGATGACAGTGGGCCTGTCGCTTTTTCTCAACCATCCTGAACAACTCCTCTGTCATCCAGGGTGTCTGGGGAGGTCTGGACCACGTACCCAAAGCAGCCATTGCAGCTGCATGAGTCACAGTCCTAAACCTCGCCCATTTACCCTCGACATCAGGAGGAGTCGGGGACGATGCCAATCCCAGCCGCAAGCGATGATGAAATTCTCGCTTGCAACTTTCATCAGATAACTGAGACCAGGCCACTTTAGGTTGGAATGGGGTCCTGGGTGTACACCCACCACCGGAGTGGAAGAATGGCAGGCGCATCTTACAGATGACTAGTCGATGGTCAGAGGGCAGATCAGCTCCACGGTAGGTCCTGGTGTCAAGGACATGGGCTCGCATTCGCTGGTTCGTCACTGTGTAGTCCAGCAGATGTTCTTGCTTGGACCCGGCATGCATCCATGATGTTATGTGGATGCGCCGATGCCGGAACAGCGTGTTGGTAATTACAAGCCCATGGGCTGCACAAAAATCTAGCAGCCTCCTACCGTTGTTATTGAGCTGATCTGTACACACACACACACCTGTACATACACACCTGTACACACGCACACACACACCTGTACACACACACACCTGTACACACACACACCTGTACATATACACACACACTTGTACATTCACCTGTTAACACACCTGTACACAAAGAGAAAGATCCCCCATATAGCCTAACAGACTGTAGGGGCAAGTGCTGTTAGCGAGCACCTATGAAGGCCGGAACGGTACACGAGGGGGTGGGTGGCCAGCACCACGCCCGACCGCCTTTGTCTCCTCAGTGGTGATGTTTACTACACACCGCACCAGGTACTCATTTGAGACTGAGTCGACCTAGGGGAGGCCCGGGACCAGTTCAAATAATCGTCACTGGTGTTGGCCGTGAGCAGGAATCGAACCCGGGTCGCCGGGATCATAGCACAGCGCGCTAACCGCTACACTATCGCTCCCCACACACACACCTGTGTTGACACCTGTATAACACACCTGCACATACACTTATACACACATCTGTATGCACATGTATTACATTACGTGACTTCCGCACAGCTGTGATCGACGTAGCACTCAGAAATCTCTCCGGATTCGGTGTGCAGTGAAAGCGGTGGCCACCCTCTCCACACACCTGTTCACGCTCACACCTGTTCACACAGACAGCCGCTCACCTGTCCTCCTCTGCCTGCCAGGTATAAGGACCGGTCGCTGTGTTCCTTACAGCCCGGGCATACGCACCTGTGAGATCTCAGCCTGGTGCCCTGTGGAGAACGCCACAGCCCCACGGTGAGGGACACCTCACACACACACACCTGCGTGAACACCTGTATGAGCACCTGTATGGAGAGCTGCATGGACACCTTTACACACAGCAAGGATCCCCCGTTAGTAGCGAGTCGCAGCACCTGTGAAGGCCGCCGGCACGACACACGAGCGGGGTGGTGGGCAGTAACCACGCCCGGTTTGTCTCTCTCCCCGGCAGGTTGGTGATGTTTACACTCCGCACCGGGTAGACATTTAAGGCTGAGTAGACCTAGGGGAAGGCCCAGGATGGGTTGAGACGCCCGTCACCTGGCGTTGGCTGCGAGAGAGAACTGAACTCGGGGGGGGGGGTTTGGTGGTTCGGAGCGCGGCGAGAAAGCCGCCACACAAAATAGCCACGCGGCTCGGCAGAGGGGTCAGGCAGGAAGCTTTGCTGCTGCCAGCGGGATTACAGAGAGGAGCCCTCGTGGGTTTTCACTGCCGTTCGCTTCGGGGACACAGTGAGGCGTAAGCGTAGATTGAGGAAAGTATTTAACGGGGTCGGCTGGTTAAACTAAACTTTTTACGTGGTCTAACCCAAAAAAAACGCATTATGGATTAAACTAAATTATCAACAATTTTTTTCAGAAGCGACCTGGCCACCCACAAATGATAGCTCAACGAAGTGTCGTCTCGTGTGGAGGAGATGCGTAGCCCCAGCGAGGAGGTTCTGTGAACTCGTGTGTGGTTACGAGCAAGCGTCGTCCCCACTCTCTCCGCGTCTGTCCAGGAGGCCGGTGCTCGCCGGGGCTGAGAATTTCACAGTCTTCATCAAGAACACAATCAGGTTCCCCAAGTTTGACTTCAGCAAGTGAGACATTCGACACACGCATATATACACGCACGTATATATGCACAAAGACAAAGCTGCCCCAAATAGCCTTAACAGACTGTAGGGGCAAGTGCTGTTAGCGAGTCGCACCTGTGAAGGCCGGAACGGCGCACGAGGGGGTGAGTGGCCAGCACCACGCCCGACCGCCTTTGTCTCTCCAGTGGCGATGTTTACACACCGCACCAGGTATTCACCTGGGGCTGAGTTTAGTTTCATTTTTAGTTTCATTTATTTGGTATAGCCCTGTGAGCCATTCGGCTCTTGAATCGGGTGCAACCGCAACAAACAAAAAACATGAACAAAAAAACATCTTAAAGTGACTTTGTGTGACTGTGCAAACAGAAAATCCAGGAAAAAAACAGCAAAATATTCCTGAAATAGCACCGTACACCAACGCTGTGTGCCAAAATCCCAGTGGGATGCAAGTCAAAATAACAACAACAACCACAAGACAACTAAGATTAAGGCCATCAGTCTAACTCCGTACTACAATAAACAAAAACATGGCCAAAACAAAAAAAACTTTTCGAAATCACCAAAATAAAAGCCATAAATCCAATGTAACAGTGATCATAGGGACTGTGACCGAATTTTTAACAATAAGCTACATAAATAAATTATAACAGCAAAATCTAGAGCCATATTTTAGGCCACTGAATAGCAGTGGCAGCTAGGGTTGTACAACTCCTCTAGAGCAGTTTTGAGAGAAGATCTCATTGGTAGCGATTCAAGTTGCAGTTTATTGGCAATAGCATTCCAGACCCTGGGGGCATTAATAGCAAAGGCCCTTTCTCCAGTTTTTGTACGGCAATAGGGAATGTGAAGCTGGTAAATGAGCGAAGACCTGAGGTCAAATTTGTTCTTTGAAACAGAGAGGAGATCCAGTAGGTAGTCTGCGGATTTTTTTTAAGTACATCGTGAATAAATAAGATCTGGTGCACAAGCCGTCGAACATTACGAGATGTTAAGTTTGACCCAATGTAGAGATCACAGTGGTGAGTCCTATATGGGCAGTTCAATGTAAATCTTAAGGCCGAGTGATAGATGGAATCAAGCTTCTTCAGTACAGTACTTGGGGCTGATTTATACACGATGTCACAGTAGTCAAGTAGAGGCAGTATGGTAGCTTTTATCAATTCCAAACGGAACATTGGGGGGAAGCAGTGCTTGTGTCGATACAGAAAACCAATTTTTATTTTTGTCTTTTTACCAATATAATCAATGTGATCTTCAAAATTCAGTAGTAGAATGCAAGCGATGGTAAGCGAGCACCTATTAAGGCCTCCATCACACACACACACCTACATCGCAGACACCTACATCACACACACACACCTCCATTACACACACCTACATCACACACACACACACACACCTACATCACACACACCTACATCACACACACACCTCCATCACACACACCTACATCACACACACACACCTGCACTGCACATACACACCCACCTGCATTTCACACACACACCTCCATCAGACACACACACACCTGTACTGCACACACACCTCTACTGCACGCACACACCTGTACTGCACGCACACACACCTGTACTGCACACACACCTGTACTGCACACACACACACACACCTGTACTGCCCACACACACACCTGTACTGCACGCACACACACCTGTACTGCACGCACACACACCTGTACTGCACACACACACACACCTGTACTGCACGCACACACACACACCTGTACTGCACACACACACACACACCTGTACTGCACGCACACACACACACCTGTACTGCACGCACACACACACACCTGTACTGCACGCACACACCTGTACTGCACACACACACACCTGTACTGCACACACACACACCTGTACTACACACACACCTGTACTGCACACACGCACACACACCTGTACTGCACACACACACACCTGTACTGCACGGCACAGTGGTGCGGTACAGCAACTGCTCCGTCACTGTCACTGCCACCTCCACGTGACTCGAGGGAGCGCCAGAGGAGCCTCTTGTCTGGTGATATATAACAAAGGCAAAGATCCCCCGTGTAGCCTTCACGGACTGTTGGGGGCAAGTGCTGCTAGCGACGGCCGGCATGGCACCCTCGATGAGGCGTGGCCAGCACCACGCCCGGCCGCCTTTGTCTCCCCCAGTGTTAATGGTTACACTCCGCACCAGGCACTCACGGTACACCCTCACCCTGCCCTCGTCTCCGTGTGCCCCCGTGTCCACCCGTGTCCACCCGTGTGTCCGGCGTGCCAGGCGTAACGTGCTGGAGCGCGCCGAGGCGGACTACCTGAAGCGCTGCCGCTACAGCGCCACGGCCGCCCCCTACTGCCCGATCTTCCGCCTGGGCCAGCTGGTGCGCGCAGCCGGGGAGGACTTCCACAGCCTCGCCGTGGAGGTGGCGCCCTGCCTGGCAACACGCCGCGGACATGACTCACTACGTGTACACGGCGTGTACACCACGTACACACAGGGTGCATACTCCACCCCCTCCACTCCCAATGAGTGATGGGGCAGTTGTGGAGAGAATGGAGAGGTTTCTGTACCTGGGCAGTGTGCTTATGACCAGCTCCAGTTTGGCAGTCGATGTCTCACTTCGAATCAGTCCAGCGGCGTTATCTTTTCACTCAGCAGCTACAACACATTCCTGCGGAGGGAGCTGGTAGGAACGTTGGGTTGCTCGGTCAATGGCCAGGGTCAACGGCGGCACCACGTGGTGTATTCCGCAAATATGCCCGACTGTGAGGGCGGGCACAAGCCGGCGTGAGTAGGTTAAACGTTGAGTTTTATAAGGGCACCACGGGGTGACCAGCCCCTCCCCACCCAGCCCCACCCCTACCACCACCCACCCAGCCCCACCCTCCCCGCCCTCCCCACCCAGCCCCTCCCCACCCTCCCCACCCTCCACTCCCCACTCAGCCCCTCCCTCCCCACCCAGCCCCTCCTCACCCTCCCCTCTCTACCCAGCCCCACACCTCCCATTTTTGGATGCACGACGGACGAACGGACACAATAATCCCCTGTGGGCTGATGTAACCAGGAGGTTCCTACCAGTATAATGCTGCTGTGTGGAAGCTGCCTGGCTTGTTGCTCCGCAAGAATCTTTGGATCTTCGTGCCCACAGTGATATCCTTCCTTCTCTATGCTTACAAAACATGGAGCCCTGTAAAGAAACATCTTGGCTGGTTTGAAACATTCAGGCAAGCCTGTCTACGATCAATCCTGGGTTTAACCAGGCTGGATTGTGTGATGCGCTCACAGATCCTTTACTGATCTGGACAAAGTCCCATCAATGAGATCCTCCGTTGGCTGGGTCATGTAGCCCACATGCCAAACCACAGCATGCCCAAACAGCTTTTGTTCGGCCGGATAGAGAGGGCTAAACGAGCGTGGTATGGGCTAGAGAAGAGATGGAATTACGTGGTAACAGAGGATATGGAGCTGAGTGGACTTGAAACTTGAATTTGGAGTGGAGTTGCCAATGACTGGTACCAGCAGTGTCAAGATCGGCCTTTATGGAGGAGACTTGTGAAGGACGCTGCTACTGGGCAGTTGGAGGCAGTCGCCCTCCAACAACACCGGAGGGCGGAGGAGCGACGCTCACAAAAACGAGTGGAACGTCGGGTGGCTAAAACACAGTGAGTTGGCACAGTAGGGGGCACAGCTGGTGCATCAACCAGTCGTCTCGGTCAGTCAAAACATGGCACCTGCTGGGTCTGTCCCGTGACCTCCCGTCAGCGAGCCTTCGACACTTCACGTGGCCGCAAAGTGCACCTGGCCTGGAACAGGCGCCGTGGTGACGTCACCTTCACTTAGTGGCGTACGGCGGGTATTGGTAATGCTGTGTGTAATGCTGTGTGTGTGTAATGCTGTGTGTGTGTAATGCTGTGTGTGTCTAATGCTGTGTAATGCTGTGTGTGTGTAATGCTGTGTGTAATGCTGTGTGTAATGCTGCGTGTGTGTGATGCTGCGTGTGTGTGATGCTGTGTGTGTGTAATGCTGTGTGTGTAATGCTGCGTGTGTGCGATGCTGTGTGTGTGTAATGCTGCGTGTGTGCGATGCTGTGTGTGTGTAATGCTGTGTGTGTGGTATGCTGTGTGTGTGTAATGCTGCGTGTGTGGTATGCTGCGTGTGTGTAATGCTGCGTGTGTGTAATGCTGCGTGTGTGTAATGCTGTGTGTGTAATGCTGTGTGTGTGTAATGCTCTGTGTGTAATGCTGTGTGTGTGTAATGCTGTGTGTGTGTAATGCTGTGTGTGTGTAATGCTCTGTGTGTAATGCTGTGTGTGTGTAATGCTGTGTGTGTGTGTAATGCTGTGTGTGTGTAATGCTGTGTGTGTGTAATGCTGCGTGTACAGGGTGGCGTTATCGGGGTTCAGATCGAGTGGAGCTGTAACCTGGACCGCCCAGCGAGTGAGTGCCACCCCGTCTACTCCTTCAACCGCCTCGACGCAGCGCGACCCCACCTCAATGCCTCCTCCTCCTCCTCGGGGTACAACTTCAGGTGGGCCCCTTCACTCTCACCATCTTCCTTAACCCCTCACCGTAACATTAACCCTCACCGTAACTCTCACCATAGCATTAACCCTCACAGTAACATTAACCCTCACAGTAACATTAACCCTCACCGTAACATTAACCCTCACCGTAACTCTCACCGTAGCATTAACCCTCACAGTAACATTAACCCTCACAGTAACATTAACCCTCACCGTAACATTAACCCTCACCGTAACATTAACCCTCACCCTAACATTAACCCTCACCGTAACATTAACCCTCACCCTAACATTAACCTTCACCGTAGCATTAACCCTCACCGTAACATTAACCCTCACCGTAACATTAACCCTCACCGTAACATTAACCCTCACCGTAAAATTAGCCCTCACCGTAGAATTAACCTCTACCGTAACATTAACCCTAACATTAACCCTCACCGTAACATTAACCCTCACCGTAGAATTAACCTCTACCGTAACATTAACCCTCACCTTAACATTAACCCTAACTGTAACATTAACCTTAACATCAATCCCGAACTGCAACATTCACCCTAACCCTACCGTTAAAAAAAACAAGAACCCCAACCAACGAACGTTACGCGCTGACCAACACCGCAACCCTTCAACCCGCACCCTTTCGGCCCATGCAGATTCGCCAAATACTACCGGCAGGCGGACGGCGGTGAGCAGCGGAAGCTCTTCAAGGTCTACGGCATCCGCTTTGACGTCCTGGTGTTCGGCAAGGTGAGCGCCACACGGGACATGCGACCTATTTGTCCACACCTGAGACGGCTTTTCTTAGAGCCTAGTCTCCATTGGTGTTGGACCAGAAGACGCCTTTTGGCGTCAAAAGGCGTCTTCTGGTCAAAAGGCGTCTTCTGGTCCAACACCAATGGAGACTAGGCTCCAAAAAAAGCCGTCTCGGGTGTGGACCAATAAAATTCAAGGACAGTGCATATTATTATCAGAGCTGTCTTTTTTGTTTGCATTTTGACTGCTTGTGTTGTGGTTATTGCAAACATGATGCCTTGAATAAAGGTGTCAGTTTTTGTGCAAGTTAAAAGGATAAAACCTATTCCTATATCTATATTTTCACTTTTCCCTTTTATCTTAACTTTGCGTGAAGTGGCCTTGAACGTTGTGGTACGAAAGGCGCTCTGCTCTTTAAATAAAGATCGTTATTAGTTTGTTATTATTGTTTGGCCAGGTGACACCGTGGTAATTCAGGCACGAGTTCACGAGAATGAGACTCAGCCAGGTGCCAAATCTCAGCCTCACTCACAGACCCTTCTGGGACAGTCAAAAAAAGAAACAGTGACTCACTGCGAGACATCGTTAATAGTTATCCTAGTGATGAACTCGTGGTTTCTCTCATAGAAATGTGGAATTTACAGCTCTGATTGAGATGGGAGTGCAGCAAAAGCCAGTGTTGCACTGTACTTACTATGCTGCCCGTAAGTATGCTCTAAAACTTAATCAACTCTGCTCTGACCAGCATGGTGAAGTATGGTCAAATAACCCCCCCCCCCTCAAGACCCACATGGTGTGTGGCGTGGGAATATCCTCATCCAGAAGTGGATTGACCCTGAGCTGCAAACGAACATATACATAATGAACTAACCATGACCCTTGACCCAGGCGGGCAGGTTCAGCATCGTTCCCACGGCCGTGAACGTGGGATCAGGCCTGGCCCTGCTCGGAGCGGTGAGACACATCTCCCCCTTGCTCTCCCTTTCTCTCTCCTCACTCTCACAGCCCCCACACTCTCCCACTTGCTCCCCGTCTCACTCATTCCCCCTCACTCACTCACTCATTCTCTCTCGCGTTTTGCAATGATTCAATCTGTGCATCATCCATTGTCCTAACCGCTCAGTCACAGGTAACAGCGTTCGCTAAATAGCACTCTTCCCCTCGCTCCCCCTCCCGCTCTTCCCATCTCATCTCCGCCCTCACATTTTCCTCTCCCTTCCCTCACTCTGCAGCTCCTTGCCAGCCTCACCCTCTCCTTGTCTCTCTCGCCCTCTCACCCCCATCTATTACGTCCTCCTTATCACACATCCTGACTGTACGTGTGAACAGTGGAACGTGTGTGCTACCCACGTGATCCGTATGTGTGTGACTGCATGGGCTACATGGTATATGTTAAGTTCAAGTTTATTTTGTTTCACCAGGTGTGAGCTCAAGAGGCAAGGACAAAGTCGCACTCGCAAGATTGTGTGAATGAGTGGGTGAGAGGAGATGGTGTGTGTGTGTGAACGAGTGGATGAGTGATCAGTTGAGTGAATGAATGAGTGGGTGACTGAGTGTTGATGAGTGGGTGGCTGAGTGGGTGAATGAGTGGGTAAATGAGTGGGTGAGATGGTGGGTGGGTGGGTGAATGAGTGGGTGATTGAGATGGTGGGTGGATGAATGAGTGGGTGCTTGAGATGGTACATGAGTGGGTTGGTGGGTGGGTGAGTGAGATGGTGGATGGGTGAATGAGTAATGGTGATTGAGATGGTACATGAGTGGGTGAGTGACTAGGTTGGCGAATGAGTGGTTCAGTGAGACTGTGAGTGAACGGGTAGTGAGTGAGTGAGATGATAAGCGAGCGAGCTAGTTTAAGTTAAAAGTTTTTTTGTTTCACCAGATGAACTCAAGAAACCAGGATGAGTCTCAATTGCCAGTGATGGGTTGCAGATATTACAAAATAAAAACAAAGTACTGCAATGAAGCACACAGAAATCAGTAGAAACACAACATGAGCAATAACAAAATATTGGACAGCGTAAAGCAATATTAAGTCTTTTTTTACTGTTCGCAGTACCCATAATAGAGGTTTTTGTGTTAGATTTTCGCCATCTAACCCAAAAACCTCTTAGAGTTAATATTGGTTGCGAATTCCTCCGTGTTAAACTGATCGCAGTACATTTACAATTAAGATACAGAGATGTGGAACAAATATAATACGTAAACAAACAAGGATATATGATGTCAAGTGCAATTGCAAATGAAGTTAAATCTCTACAACATGTATCTATGTGTTTGTTACAGGGCGTCGGGAGTTAAGTGTGGTTAGCGCACTGCGCTACGAACCCCGTGACCCGAATTCGATCCCAGCTCATGGCCAACATTGGTGACGAAAATCTGAACCGATCCTGGGCTTCCCCTAGGTCGACTCAGCCTTAACTTAGTATGTAAACATCGGCACATGGGAAACAAAGGCGGCTGGGCATGGTGCTGGCCACCCACCTCCTCGTGTTGCCACCAGCCTTACTAGGTGCTCGCTAAAAGCACTTGCCCCGGCAGTCAATTAAAATGCTATATGGGGGATCTTTGTCTTTTTTTTCGGATATGGTAACGGTAGTAAGTAGGCGACCTCAGTTCGATTCCTGGCCACGGTTAACATCAGTGGTGAGTGATATCAGAAGCGGTTCTGGGCATCCCCAAGGTCGACTAAGCCTTCAAATGTAAAGGTTGCCACCTGTCCTGCAGGTAGCAGTGATTGATTTGTACCACCGCTGCTGATGGACCACAGTGCTGACTGAAGAACGGCGTCTGGGTTTGGTCCACGGTGGAAAAAGGGTGGCGACCCCCTACTCATATGACTAGTAATAATGTAAATGTATAAAGCGCCCTTAAACAATCGCTGTCAGGGCGCTATGCATGGCAAGGCGGAAAATAGTTAACGACAACCAGGAGAAGAAGAAGTGAGAAGGACGTTTTAAACATAGATGTTTTTAGTCGAGATTTGAAGATTTGTCGTCTGTCTCGGAAGTCCGGACCTCGAACGGCAACGAGAGTTCCAGAGTTTAGGTGCCGCAATTGCTAAGACGCCGTCACCACCCTCCAAGTGTGAAGCCTGGAGCCCGTGGGGCAGTGAGCAATGCCGAATCTGAAGACCTTAACCATCTTGTCGCGGTGTGCAAAATATCAGCACTGGGGAGACAAAGGTGGTGGGCGGGGCGCGGCGCTAGCCGCACCACCCGCTGGTGCGCCGGCCTCAACGGCAGCGCTTCCCCCAACGGTCCGCGTGCGCTGTGGAGGGGGGGGGGGGGTGATCTTTGTCGTTGTGACTGTGCCACACAGGGGGCGTTTTTCTGTGACCTGGTGCTGCTGTACCTGAGCAAGCGGAGCCCCTTCTATCGGGAAAAGAAATACGAGGAAGCCAGGTGAGAGTGTGTGTGTGTGGTCTCTGCGTGCGGAGAACTATAAACTGAAACTGTTTATTTTACCAGGGTAAGTGCCCGCTGAGCTGTGTAGCTCTTTTTCAGAAGTGACCTGGCTATCGCAAATTATAGTTCAACAAAGTGGCTTGTCGCGTGCAAATTTATAGTGGCCAAATACTCTCGGCGCACGTTGATTGTAAATGTGGAGGGAAAAACGGGAGAACCCAGAGAAAAATCCACGCGGCCACGGGGAGAGCATGCAATCTCCAAATATATTGGCGTCAGGCTTGGGATCAAACCCACGACCTCCTGCATACCAGGCGAGAAAGATAACATTCCACCAGTCTCATTTGCAAGAGTGACATGGGGGGGGGGGCGGCATCAGTCCGCTGCCAGTAGTGGGTAAAGATTGCTTCTGCTCCCGTGTGTTTATGTGTAATTGTGTTGAGCGGTGGTGTAGCGGTTAGTGCGCTGCAGTATGTATGTTGAACTTTTTTCGCACCGTATGTAGCCAACCACGCTCATCGGAGGTGCTGGAGGACAAGCTGGTGACCCGAGTTCGATTCTCACTCACAATCCATACCAGTGACGACAATCTGAACCGGTCCTGGGCCTCCCCTAGGTCGACCAGCCTCAAATGTGTACCTGGTGCGGTGTGTAGTAAACATCGCCACTGGGGAGACTAAGGCGACCGGACGTGGTGGTGGCCACCCACCCCCTTGTGTGCCGTGCCAGCTTCCATAGGCGCTCGCGAACAGCACTTGCTCCTCCAGTCTGTTAAAGGCTATAAGGGGGAACTTTGTCTAATTCCAATGGAGTACTTTTCAGCGTCATTTTCGAATTTGCACCCTGACGTGGGCGGCACACAATGGCCTAACTCTTGTGAATAACGTCATGGGAATCGTCCACCGAGAGGCAGATGGCGGCGTACTATTATGGCCGACACATACCTCAAGTAATAACCAGGGTGGCCGCTGGATTCAAACCGTGAAATACCACCGTGCCAAGATGTTAACTACCTCGCCTGGTATGCAGGAGGTCGTGGATTCGATCCCGACCTTGACGCCTGCTGTATATTTGTAGTTTGCGTGTCTCTCTCTCTCCCCGTGGTAGCGTGAAATTTTCTCCAGATCCTGCGGTTTTTCCCTTCACATTTAGAATCAACATCACACGTATTGAGTATTTGGTTGCTATACATTTCCACACGATAAGCCACTTCGTTGAACTATCATTTGTGGCCAGGTCCCTTCTGAAAAAGAGCTGCATAGATAGCTCAGTGGGCCTTACCTGGTAAAAAAAAATAGTTTAAGATGGTAAATAGAACCTCTGCAACGAGCGGCAAACACGCTACCTCTGGCCCACATCACGAACCGATGTAGCACCGGTGCGGTATGGTCTCATAACCCGCACGGCGCGGGGAAGGCCCTCATCCAACAGTGGATTGACAAAAAGGGCTGCACGTGTCCTCAAGACACATCTCTTGTTTTTCTCCGGTGCACAGGTTTCAGAGAGGAGAGAGCGTGCAGATGGGGATGAAGCGAGACTCTGTCACCATCGCTACCATCATCTGACGGCAGGAGCGCGCGCTCACACACACACACGGCTGCCGTTCGCCGCCGAGTGACGGTGCCATCATCCGCGCCACGTGGGCCAGGCTAGGTGCACTTTGAGGCCGTCACGTGAATGCAAAAGTGTGGAAGGCTAGCTGCAGGCAAGAAGGTCGTGGGACAGACCCAGGTGTTGTTGTGAGTTAACCAACATAAACGTCTGGCAGGTGCATCACCCGTGCTCCCCACTGCGCCAACTTGCTGCGATTTAGGCGCCCGGCATTCCACTCGTTATTGTGAGGGTCGCTGCTCTGCCCTGTGTTGTGGGTGGAGGGCAATTGCGTTGCAGCTGCCCAGTAGTGTCCTTCATGAGCCTCCTCCACAGAGGCCGATCTTGACAACGCTGGTACCAGTTATCTACAAATCGAATCAGCTCCACATCCTCCTGTACCGCATCAATCCATCTCTTCTCCAGCTCATGCCACCGCGGTTATTTTGCCCCCTCCATCTGGCCAAACAGCTGCTGCTTGGCCATGTGGTGGCTGGGCATGCGGGCTACATGACCGTGCAAACGCAGCCTCGCCTGTCAGAGGAGCTCACTGATGATGGGGACTGTGACCGGATCTTTCAAAGATCTGAGTTCCTCACACAATTCAGTCTGGTTAATCTAGGATGGATCGTAGGCAGGCCAGCCTAATTGTTTAAAACCAGCCCAAATGCTCCTCTAAAGGGCTCCACGTTTCGCAAGCATAGCGAAGAGAGGGCATAACGCTCATACACACACGCACACATGCATTTATAAAGATACACAAAATATCATACAGAAACAAAACATATTGTACATGTACACACAAATGATTCCGTGTGCAGCCTTATAGACTGTGCAGACAAGTGTTAGTGAGCACCTATTAAGACCAGCGTGACATGCAAGGAGGGTGGTGAGGCCAGCACCATGCCTGGCCGCCTTTGTCTCTCCAGTGTTGTTGTTTACACACCTCACCAGTTAATCACTCGAGGCCAAGCCAATCTAGGAGGAGACCCAGGACCGGTTCAGATAATTGTCATCATTATTGATCATGAGCTGGACTCGAACTCGGGTCGCCGGGTTCGTAGCGCAGCATGTTAACCACTGCACTACCGTTCCCCAAACAAAGATCCCCGTATAGCCTTAACAGACTATTGGGGCAAGTGCTGTTAGCGAGTAGCAGCGCCTATGAAGCCCGGCACGGCACACGAGGGGGTGGGCGACCAGCACCACGCCCGGCCGCCTTTGTCAAGACCGGTTCAGATGATCGTCACCGGTGTTGGCCGTGAGCGGGAATCGAACTCACGCATTGCCGGGTTCAGATTCAACTTGCTACCGCAGATGTCTGCGACGAGTAATTGAACTCGGGTTTACTGGGTTTGGGCTCGAGTGCAAAAAGTGCTATGACACAATACACATGGACGACCCCTTTTTAAATTCACCCTCTCATCTCACGCAGTAACTTATAGCGATAATATATACACATACGTGTGCAGCCTTTGAAAACAACTAATCCGTACTCGCAAGCAGGATAAAGATGCATCTGTTTTTGTATGTTCACGAATACATGTGTTTTAGAGTTACCATGACCGTATTCTCAGGAATATTAGACACTCCCACAAATGTAAGCCGCACCCCAAAACTTGTCCACTGTCAATAGAGTTCTAAAGATCTGGAAGTACGCACGTTTAAAAACGCGCAACTCTTAAAACCCAGGTTATCACGAGTAGGAACACAGCTACTGGATTATGAGAGGCACCACCAAACTCTTCCTTTAAAAATTCGGGCGAACAAAACGGTGTCTTATTATCCGGAGAATACGGCAAAACTTTAATTCATATCGCGCCTACGTGCCACTGCATCTCAAGGCACGCTGCGCAAGAAACGGAGAACAGGGGCAGGGAGTCGACAGCACGGTCGGCCAGGGGTGGTCGGAGATCATTTCCAAACTGGGGGCGGCAGAGGAGAGAGCGAGTGACGTCTCACCGAGCGACTGGGAGAATGCGACCCTCTCTAGGACATTGACAAGCAAGGGGATGTGAGATGATAGGGATATTTCAGGGACACTGCAGGTGGGGGGGGTCCAGCATTTGTTTATTTCAGGACAGGATAAAAAGCTATGCGCGCGTGACATTCCATACCATTAGCTGTCACACGAAGGCCGGAAACGTATAAAGGGCAAGCAGTTAACGGGTTTTTTTTAAATCGTGAAATATCAACATCAATTATCTTTGCGGTGGTGCGAAGGTTTACTCTGTTGGACACTGAAGTTACTTATGCTTCTGTATTATGTTTTTCTCTGGCTTAAGCGGTGGGCTGCCACACCTTGGATTTGAGTAAGCGGGCTCACAGCAAATGCTGTCGACAATTTACTTGTTCACGTTATTGTCGTGTTGCACGTGCGCACAAGAACACGCGTGATTGGCCGAATGAGGTCACACGGCGTTGACAAGGTTGCCCAGGTAACGCAAAGAAAACAACACGGTGGAAAGTTGCTGTGTTTTTATTAATGTGTTGAGGTGTACAGATGTTAAATAATAATAATAATCAGGTGACTTTACCACGGTACATATATACAGACAGTTGAACCTATTGCCATTCCACTTTGGTTCGGGTTAACCCAAAACCGAAATAAATATTTAAGGTTTCAGTAGGTTCAAGATAGGCTCATAGGTCTGCACAGATATGTTTCATGAACCCATGCACTTGTAGTACTGCAATCTCTTGGCCAACTTGCATCACAGTGGCATCATGGAGATTCAACAAATACTCTTTGGTTCTATTCGGTAAAGTCACGTAGGTAAAAAAATAAAACAAAAATCACGACGTTTCGGCCACAACACAAGCGGCCTTCATCAGGTGAAGGGACCAGCCTGTCTCGAAGACTGCGCTGGAGTGAAACGGAGCCAAGCTCAGACTGCGACCTTTAAGCTGTGTGAAGGCCGCTTGTGTTGTGGCCGAAACGTCGTGATTTTTTTTTTTTACCTACGTGACTTTACCGAATAGAACCAAAGAGTATGGATCCTTGCAGTCACGAAAGCTTCAAATCTAGAATAGATTGAACAAATCTCTGCTTTATTCACCAACCCTTTCCTCTATATATCTACTTCTGAGGAAGCTCAAGCCTCCCGTAAATCACGTGACTTCTGTGTGGCCACCCTCACTCTGAATCCCTCTCCTCACCGCCCCCTGTGGCAACGGATACCTCTCCGTGCAACGACATCGAGGCCCTTGTCGCCTCTGCTTCCTAACCACGTTGCTAGACATCTGCGGAAAAATACTGGAAATTTGTAAAAAAAAAAAATAGCTTCACAGCTTTCTCCAGGATAAATAAAGATTCTGATTCTGTTTCCTGACCCTTTGCTCCCGTTTTTTCCATTTCTTCTCCAACCTTTTCCTCTTATTTCCCATTATTTACCTTTCCCATTCTCTTTGCCATTCCGTTTTAACTTATTACACATTACACAGTCCTTGACTCTACTTCTTTCCCGTGGTTGTGCCCCACTGGTCAAGAGACGCGTGTCTTTGGCGTGCTAACCCCCAGCTCTCTCTGCTATCGCGCGATCCGCCCCGTTGAGATTTATGATCACCTCATTCTCAAGCGAGAGGCGTTTGTGGTTTTATACGCCAGAAAAACCGCCAGGTGGCAATCGCCTTCTTGGGTGCCCCTTGACCACTTGGTGGAAACTCCACATTCCCCTGGCAGTGTCCACGCGTATTTACATTGACGGGAAAATGGCTATGTTGTGAGTGGACGGGAGTGCGGTGATATCTATTGTTGTGCAGTACATCTATGCTCCCGCGTCTTTGCTCCCTCACCTTCACCAGTGCCACCTGTGATGGTGTAATGGGTTAGCACACGGAGACCGGACTTGCAATCACCGAAGGCCGCTGGTTCAATTCGACCTCCTGGCGGCGGGAGTTGGAACAATGGTGGAGGTTTATTAAATCCCCTCCACCTACACCACCCAGCAGTGGTGAAAGGGTTCTGTACCACAGTTCGGTGAGTCGAATCGGCAGGTCTGGGTGTGGTGGATGCAGGTGAAAGTGTGGTGGATACTCCTACCTCTGTCAAGATGTCTGGATACTCCCACCTCTTCCGAGACGTCTGGCACAGCGTGGAAGAGCCGGACAAAATCGCCTCCTCATGATGGTGTATGAGCTCTGCAGTAGCCACCCGCAATCCGCTCTCGTTGGAGGCCCTGCCTTCCGCCAGCAGGCACGTGAACCAGTGATTGCAGGGGTCTGCGCCTTCACAAGGGGGTTCGAGTTCAGAGGAGGGCATTTCAGGAGCTATCCGGGCTCCTGTGGTGACCACTGATTTTTTCTCCCCTCACGTTGCCTATATTTACATGCAATTGAAGTATAAGATAATAGGTTTTCCCATTTTTTTCTGGCAACAAAACAGGTGTTAAGATGTTTTAACATTGTTAAGATGCCAGAAAAAAGGGGAAAACCTATTATCATATTTTGGTACTGGCAAAGGAGGTCCCATGATGTAATTGAAGTATCATTTCCCATTGTTTTTAAAGTATTGTAACGTGCCAACTTTAAAATGACATTTATACGTAATGCGCACTTTGGTTACACAGAAACTCGTACTTGAAGCTGTCTAAAAGTTGTGTCGCGATGATAATCATAATAATAATAAACGCATTTGATGAAAAGGTTGATATCGATTGCACCTTTGTGAACCATCTTAAATGCTTCGTATTATCTTTGGTACTCTTTGGTTAAATTTCGATTTAAAGCTTTCGTGACTGCAAGGATTAATCTTCTTTGATGAAGGCCGCTTGTGTTGTGGCCGAAACGTCGTGAGAATATTATTGTGTTATTTTATCAATTTATTATTTTATTCTCATTCTACGTGACTTTACCGAAAGAACCAAAGAAGACTCTTTGGTTCTTTCAGTAAAGTCACGTAGGTATAAAATAAAAATAAATTACAACGTTTCGGGCGCAACACAAGCGTCCATCATCAGGTGGGAAAGCTTCAAATCAAGATTATTATCTTTAGTATTGGAAAAGCCCTTGATCCAGCAGTGTATAGATGATGGAAGCCGATGATGCATTGCGTATACAAAACTCAACAAAGAATTAACATCATTGAGAACATGTCATCAAATACAAGTAGGTAGCAAGCAAGACAGTATGGCTCCCTCATAGCTATCTGTCCCTTATGTGTAATAAAAACTCTATAACAAATGGTATTCTACTCCACAGTAGTTCTCAGCCGGGAGTATGCGGACTCCTGGGGGTACGTGGTGAATGTGGGTGGCCAGCACCATGTCGCCTCTGTCTCCCCAGTGGTGTTAACTACCTCACCCAGGAGATGTTAACTACCTCACCCAGGAGATGTTAACTACCTCACCCAGGAGATGTTAACTACCTCACCTAGGAGATGTTAACTACCTCACCCAGGAGATGTTAACTACCTCACCTAGGAGATGTTAACTACCTCACCTAGGAGATGTTAACTACCTCACCTAGGAGATGTTAACTACCTCACCTAGGAGATGTTAACTACCTCACCCAGGAGATGTTAACCACCTCACCTAGGAGATGTTAACTACCTCGCCTAGGAGATGTTAACTACCTCACCTAGGAGATGTTAACTACCTCACCTAGGAGATGTTAACTATCTCACCCAGGAGATGTTAACTACCTCACCTAGGAGATGTTAACTACCTCACCTGGTTTCGATTTAAAGCTTTCGTGACTGCAAGGATTCATCTTCTTTGGTTCTTTCGGTAA